TTTATTTGAAAAAACTATGCAAACTATGTACACGTCACACATAGGATAGTGATGGTGCAAAACGAGTACTTTTAAATATTTTTCTTTTATGAATGCACTATCACTATGCTATGCATGCGTGTGCATAGTTTTTTCAAATAAAATATTATTATAAAAATGTGTATTAAACCGGTACAAGCAACAAGCTATATTGATTATAATATGATACATATTATATACTATATGTATTTCTTTGTTTCCAGGGAGTTAGAAAGTCCAAAAGTTATGGAAATTTTGAGTGTGTTACTTGGAATTGATATAAAAATTCCATTAGATGACGATGATGGTAAAGAAGAACTATCTGTAGATGCTGGGGAAGAACAACTCGCTGATGCTACAGAGACACCACATGCTAAGGAACCTCCAACTACAGAGGCTACAGGACAACCAGATGCTGAGGAAGACCAACCTAAAGATGTTATGGACAAATCACACGTTACACCTGTGCAAGTGGAAGATGAGGGACGAGAAAGTGCAAATATTACTGATAACAGCGATAGTGAAGAAAATAATTTTGATGAAATAGATGATGATGTCAGTGATCACAATGAGTCATCAGAAGTTGCTCTTCCTATACAAACAGAGGAACATGAATCAAAGGAAGATATGTACAGCATGTCATGTTCCTCTCAATCTTTTCGGAATACATCACCTTCACAGCTTCCCTTCCATGATTGTAGTCAAGATGCTCAGGAGAAAGCAAATGATGCAATGGTTTCTGCTGGTCCTAATGAGAAAATGGCTCCAGCATCTGAACCATCTTCTCTTAGCTCAACTGTCGAAATACAACCAGAATGTGACCAGAAGCAAAAGGACACCACGCAAGTAACTCAAACTGTTACTGAGAAGGATCTGCCAGAGTCTGATACACTTAGTTCTTCGGAAAAAGATGGGAGCCATGCTGTATATGAGAAAAATGCAGAAGAGGCAGAAACAATGGCTTCTTCATTGGATTCGAAGAAACCACCTTCTGAAGAAGAGAACGAGGTTCCAACAGAGGCCAATCATAATGGATAGATTTCCC